GAGCACAGAGGAGGGTCCTGGGTGATCTGGGTGCTGGTTCAGGTGCTTGAATTCCACCTGATCATGGAGGAGGGTCCTGGGTGATCTTGGTGCTGGTTCAGGTGCTTGAATTCCACCTGAGCACAGAGGAGGGTCCTGGGTGATCTTGGTGCTGGTTCAGGTGCTTGAATTCCACCTGATCATGGAGGAGGGTCCTGGGTGATCTTGGTGCTTATTCAGGTGCTTGAATTCCACCTGAGCACAGAGGAGGGTCCTGGGTGATCTTGGTGCTGGTTCAGATGCTTGAATTCCACCTGATCATGGAGGAGGGTCCTGGGTGATCTTGGTGCTGGTTCAGATGCTTGAATTCCACCTGAGCACAGAGGAGGGTCCTGGGTGATCTTGGTGCTGGTTCAGGTGCTTGAATTCCACCTGAGCACAGAGGAGGGTCCTGGGTGATCTGGGTGCTGGTTCAGGTGCTTGAATTCCACCTGAGCACAGAGGAGGGTCCTGGGTGAATCTTGGTGCTTATTCAGGTGCTTGAATTCCCCCTGATCACAGAGGAGGGTCCTGGGTGCTCTGGGTGCCTCAGGCTGGGCAGTGAGGGAGCCAAAGCAATGTGGTGGTGAGGGAGAGGGAGCTCCAGGGATCCTCCTGGGCTGGGGCTGAGCCCCAGCAGCAGCAGGGCCAGCAGAGATGAGGGCAGCTCTCCAGGTTTCTTGCCCTTCCAGCTGCTGTTCAGAAACTCAAACCAGTGGTTGGACTTTCTGAAAGAGCCACCTGGGCAGGAAACGTGAAAATACCTGGGTTTAAAAATACGGTGGGGGAAAAAACCCAACCTAAAAACAAATGAAGTCACCCCAAAACCCCAATTCCATGAAGAGAAAAGGGAGGGGTTTGAAATCCCCTCTGTCAGGTGCATTTGGAGGGCAGCAAACATTCTGTGCTCTTCTCCATCCCTGCTCCTCACCCCATCCTAGGGCTGCCCTCCCCATAGGGTTTTTTCCTTCTCCTGCAAGGTACAGGGGTCAAAAGCATCACATGGCAGCTCCTTTTCTCCCCATGATGATGAGCAAAAACCTGTCAAATCACCTTTTTCCTGTGGAAAACTTTATATCCAGCAGCACGAGCAAACCCTGAGGCTGGGACCATTGTCCCCAAGGTGCTGAGGATGCAGAGTCAGGACTCAGAGCAGCAGGAGGAACCCGGTTTGGTGGTTGAAAAAGGGGATTTGGTTTGAAACACTTGGGCTGTGTTTGTGGCCTGGGGAGAGGAATGTGGTTGGAAATTCACTGCTGCCATGTAAGAAACAGCAGCTGGTGTGGAGCTGAGGGCAGGGATGAGCAGCCCTGGGCCTTTTTCCCATCCTCATCCCATCTCATCTCTTTGAGCACCGTGCAGCTTTTGGCTGCCATAGCATCCTGTGAACAAGTCCCACAACGAAATTGTGTTAAAATAAGTTTCCTTTCACTCAGTTGAAATTTACTGCCCGTTGTTCTGCAGTGTTTATTGTTGCTTCTGGAGAGTTCCTCTCTGGTTTGGACAGTAAATCCGCTGTCTTTCAGAGGCTTTCTCTGTCCAAGAGCTGCAGCACACGGAAAGAATTAGCATCTTGCCCTGTGTCTGGTTGTGGAGCTGTTGCTGCTTTGTGCTGCTGCTGGTGGTTTTGAAGATGTTGAAGGTGAATATTTTTCAGCCAGTTTAGAGAAGTGGCGACTCTGAAGGGAAAAGCAGCAAAGCAAACCCGACAAAAAGTTCCCCCTCTTCCAAAATTTCTTGGTGTGTGTGCAAAATCCTCACCCTGGTTCTGAGCCTTTGGGCTGTGGGGTCTCTCCTGGGTGGGCTCAAAGTGAGGGAAATACCAAGAGGATGCTCCAGGTGGATGAAATAAAAATCCTCATTTTCCTTTTGGGTCTTGCTTTATCACTGACCTTCGAGGGATGGTTCGCATGGTGTGAGCTGGAGCAGTGATGCCCCAGAACTGGTGATGCCCCGGAACTGGTGATGCCCTGGAGCTGGTGATGCCCCAAAACTGGTGATGCCCCAAAACTGGTGATGCCCCGGAGCTGGTGATGCTCTGGAGCTGGTGATGCTCTGGAGCTGGTGATGCTTTGAAACTGGTGATGCTCTGGAACTGGTGATGCTCTGGAGCTGGTGATGCTCTGGAGCTGGTGATGCCCCAAAACTGGTGATGCCCCAGAGCTGGTGATGCCCTGGAGCTGGTGATGCTCTGGAGCTGGTGATGCTCTGGAGCTGGTGATGCCCCAGAGCTGGTGATGCCCCAGAGCTGGTGATGCCCTGAAACTGGTGATGCTCTGGAAGTGGTGATGCTCTGGAGCTGGTGATGCCCCAAAACTGGTGATGCTCTGGAGCTGGTGATGCTCTGAAACTGGTGATGCTCTGGAGCTGGTGATGCTCTGGGACTGGTGATGCCCCAGAACTGGTGATGCTTTGGAACTGGTGATGCCCTGAAACTGGTGATGCTCTGGAGCTGGTGATGCTTGGAACTGGTGATGCTTGGAACTGGTGATGCCCCAAAACTGGTTATGCCCTGAAACTGGTGATGCCCTGAAACTGGTGATGCTTTGAAACTGGTGATACCCCAGAACTGGTGATGCTCTGGAACTGGTGATGCTCTGGAGCTGGTGATGCCCCAAAACTGGTTATGCCCTGAAACTGGTGATGCCCTGAAACTGGTGATGCTTTGAAACTGGTGATACCCCAAAACTGGTGATACCCTGGACCTGGTGATGCTCTAGAGCTGGTGATGCCCCAAAACTGGTGATGCCCTGAAACTGGTGATGCTCTGGAAGTGGTGATGCCCTGAAACTGGTGATGCTCTGGAACTGGTGATGCCCCAAAACTGGTGATGCTCTGGAACTGGTGATGCCCTGGAGCTGGTGATGCTCTGGAGCTGGTGATGCCCTGAAACTGGTGATGCTCTGGAACTGGTGATGCCCCAAAACTGGTGATGCCCCAGAACTGGTGATGCCCTGAAACTGGTGATGCTCTGGAAGTGGTGATGCCCCAGAACTGGTGATGCCCTGGAGCTGGTGATGCCCCAAAACTGGTGATGCTCTGGAGCTGGTGATGCCCTGAAACTGGTGATGCTTTGAAACTGGTGATGCCCCAGAACTGGTGATGCTTGGAACTGGTGATGCTCTGGAGCTGGTGATGCCCCAGAACTGGTGATGCTCTGAAACTGGTGATGCCCTGAAACTGGTGATGCCCTGAAACTGGTGGTGCTCTGGAGCTGGTGATGCCCCAAAACTGGTGATGCCCCAAAACTGGTGATGCCCCAAAACTGGTGATGCCCCAGAACTGGTGATGCTCTGGAGCTGGTGATGCTCTGGGACTTGTATTTTTGGGGCTTTCCATGGTGGGATGGATGGGCAGCAGCAGCCAAAGGATGCCCCTAGCACTGGCTCAGTGTTCCCCTTGGTGACAGTGCTCCTCACAGCTGCATGGTTGCTCCCATTTTGCTGCTGGGAAGGAAACATGCACCTATTTTGGTAAATAATAACTTAAGAATTAAATGCCATCCCTGTATGATCTGTCCTTGCAAAGAGTCTTTTACTGATGGGATGTATGGGTAAAAAACCCAGTTTTTGCTGCCCTTTGTCTCTCTGGTCTTCTTCCTGGCCTCCCCACACCTCATCCTCCCTGGAGGGCAAATTGTGGGTGTCAGGATGGGGAACCACAGAACATGATGCACCATGATTAACTCCCCCCCCAAAAAAAAGCAGAGAAAAAGATGAAGTGACTCACATGACTCAGTGAACCCCAAAACTGAGTGTGGTAGTGAGACCATTTGGGTTTCTTGTTGGAGCATGGTCTGGTGAGGAGCTGAAGGATGGGGCCAAGGTCTTCAGCAGGGTCTGGGGGTGCTCTGGGGTGGGAGAGGAGCAGGAGGAGCTTGGTCAGGTTGGCTGTGGCTGCTGCCTTGAATTTGGGAGAAAAACCTGTTTTTTTTGGGTTTTTTTTAATGCTTTTTGTGTCAGGCTGGGGGCTGCCAAGTTTTGGCAGATAGGAAGCTATTTTGGGACTGGCTTTTCCCTTTGCCTGGGTCTTGGCACAGGGCACCTTGCCTTAAATGCAGCGTTATCACTGCTGTTACCCAGCTGCTCAGAGCAGGGAGAAGGACATACCTGTGGAAAATGAACTGGCTGGAGTTCCCTCTTTGTCCCTGCAGTGCAGCACAGTGCTGGGAAATGGCATGAGATGGGCTGGGGGGCTGTGCCAGGAGGTGCCCTGGTACCTCTGGGTGCAGCCTCTGCTGCTGGGGGATGCAGATTCACGTGGGAGCCCCTGAGAGCTGCAGAACTCGTCCCTTTGGGGAGAGTTTTGGGCAAAAGCCAAGCCCCAGATCCATGGAAACACCCTGTGGCTGAGCCCAGTGAAGGCCTGGCTGTCTCAGCTGCCTTCAGAGTCCTCCTTTCCTACAAGAATTGGGTTTCTGTGCCTGGTTATGAGGTTCCTTTCAAGCAATCAAAGAAAGACATTTTAAAAATTCCAAATTGGAGATTAGTGCAGAAACTGGAGACGGATTTAAATTGCCCAAGCTAATCACCAGCCACTCGACTGCTTATGACTTTATTAAGAGCAAAAAAAAAAAAGAAAAGAAAAAAAAGCCTGGAGTGTCAGAGAGGAGCAGTGATTCAGGGGCTCACTGCTGCCACCTCCTCCTCCTCACCCAGCATCGTGTGTCCTGTGCCATGTGTGTTCCTGGCCTCCATCCTCGGGCTTCTTGGAGACCAGTTTGGATAAATAAATCCATAAATCCCTCTGCAGCTCTCCTGGCCCCGAGCTGGCTGGGACAAAGCAGCAGAGCCCACTCTGGCCTGGGGCTGGGATCTGGCTGGGTTCTGGGCCTGTGTGGGGTTTGGGAGCAGAGTCTCACTGCTGTCTCTGTCCTGTGCAGGTTTCTGAGCAGCTGCTGCCTCCTCGTCCCCGCTGGATCTGCCTGTGCAGGACGGTACCATGAACTGAGCACGGAGCCGCGCCAACATTTTTTTTTTTTTTTTTATTTTTGGTTTTGGCTTTTTTTGGGTTTGTTTTCCATCCGAGAGCAAAGCCCCCCCACCCCATCCAAAGCTTTTTGATGCAAGCATTCTAAAGTGGGGTTGCCGCTCCCCTCGCTGAGCCCCAGTGGTCCCGGCTGCGCTGAGGATTTCCCGAGAAGATGGGGAGGAAAAAGATCCAGATCCAGCGGATCACGGACGAGCGCAACCGGCAGGTCAGTGCTGTGTGTCCCTGCTCCCCCTGGGGCTCCAGAATCACCCATTCCCATCCCTCCAGGGCTACCAGGGCTGTGCTTTTCCCAATCCATAAAACAAGCTGAGATTTAGGCCGGATCCAGGCGGATCCAGGACCAAGGCGTTGCTCCTCCTCGCCTTGGAGCTCTTGGAGCTCTTTCCATCTAAGTGCTTTTCCAGAAGAAAGTATCTTCCCCACTTAGTTAGTTCCCCCCTCCTGTTGGTTTTTTTTTTATTTCTTATTTTTGTCTCGCAGAAAATATATTTCAGTTGACATTTTCCATGTGGTTTTTCCAATCATAAACAGCCACAACAAGTATCCATTTTGCTGAACGCAAACAACTCCAATTATTCCCTTTTTTTTCTTTTTCCCCCCCCTCAATTGTAGACTTAAATGACTCCAGGGCTTTTTTCCTTGGGGCTCTTTTGAAGCCAAGCCCGAGACACGCATGTGCATGTGTGTAGGAATGCATTCATGTATCTCAGAGGGAAAACAAAAACCAGCAGATTATTCCCAAATTTCCATGTTCCTTCAGCTGGAGTGGTGGAGCAGCAGCACTTTGCCAACCCAGGGATGACTCTGGGCATGTATTTCCCATTACCACAGGACTTCCAGGCAGCTCCCTTTGCTTTCTGTGCTCCTGGAGTTTGGCTCAGCAGATCCAAGCCTCTGCCTTTAGTCCAGCATGACCTGCCACACTTCTTTCCTGCCACACTTCTTTCCTGCCACTTTCACTCCAGAAAAACACAAAAAAAAAAAAACCCAGTAAAAAAAAGCATGTGGATATATTGTTAATCCTTAAAGAGTGTCAGAGAACAGAATTGGGTGAACCACTTTATTGCTCCTCAGCAAAACAATAGGAAATGGCAGATTTTCCTCATTATAGCTTCACGTGGTGATGGGGGCTGGGGTGGGCATCAAATTCTTTCTGCTGATGTCCCAGTTGCTCCTGGGGCTGTTTAGATCCATCATGAGGAGGAAACAGAGCCTTAGGGGTTGTGGGAGGATCTGGAGTGTATTTTATGGGGTGCAGAGGGGGAGTGAGGGATCTGCAGTGACTGGAGCCTTGTTCAGACAAATGGAAAATAATTGGTAATGCTGGAGGGGAATGGCTGGGTAGACCTTGGGGAAAGGAAGGAGGCACAGCTGAGTGATGGGGTGTTCCTGAGGGATGAGCAGCTCTTCAGCCCTGCCTGGAGATGAAGACTCTTGCTGAGGGTGGGATTTGGCAGCAGGAGTTGCTTTCTGCATGGCTGGGTGTGATGATGGCTGTAGTGCATCTCTGACATCAGGTGTCCCCAAATCCCAGTTCCCAGGGCTGGGGGACCCTGGTTTTTCCTGGCTGGGCTGGTTCTTCCAAAACCCAGCACGGGAGCATCGCTCTCCAAGCCAGTGCAGCACATCTTGCTTTGCTTCCCAGCAGCCATCCCCATCAGATGGGGTGTAAATTGGTAAATTGTCAGCAGCACAGCTTTGCAATCAATTTTCACTGCTCTCTTTCTTTGGGAAAAAAGGACATACAGGAAGATGGGACATTTCACGATAAAGGATTGCTGCAGGCAGTGGGGTCTGCTCCATCCACTGTGGGAGGAGCTGTAAAGAGGGGCAGAAGCCTCTTGCTGCACTCTCCTGGGCCATGCAATGCCAGGATCCAATCCCCAGAGTCACAAGTGTTTCCTGTGTTATTTTATCTCATAGAACCATGGAATGGTTTGGGTTGGAAGGGATCTTAAAAGCCCATCTCATCCCACCCCCCTGCCATGGCAGGGACACCTTCCACTGTCCCAGGCTGCTCCAAGCCCTGCCCAACCTGGCCTTGGGCACTGCCAGGGATGGGGCAGCCTCAGCTGCTCTGGGCACCTGTGCCAGGGCCTGCCCACCCTCCCAGGAAAAATTTCCTTCCAAAATCCCCTCTAAATCTCCCCTTTTTCAGTTTGAAACTCTGCCCCTTGTCCCACCACCATCTCCCCATGTAAGAAGTCCCTCTGTGTGTGTTTGCTAAGCCCCTTGAGAGCTGCAAGGCTGCACTGAGGTGTCCCCAGAGCCACCTCTGGCTTCTCACTCCCCTCCCTCTCCTGCTGTTGCTGTGGGTCAGTGATGAGGAGCTGATGTGTGCCTGCCTGCTGTGCTGCAGGCTGCCAGCTGAACTGCCTTAAACCCAGCCTGGGAGCATCCTGAACTGCCTTAAACCCAGCCTAGGAGCATCCTCACTGCCCTAAACCCAGCCTGGGAGCATCCTCACTGCCTTAAACCCAGCCTGGGAGCATCCTCACTGCCTTAAACCCAGCCTGGGAGCATCCTCAGCTGCCTTAAACCCAGCCTGGGAGCACCCTCAGCTGCCTTAAACCCAGCCTGGGAGCATCCTGAACTGCCTTAAACCCAGCCTGGGAGCATCCTGAACTGCCTTAAACCCAGCCTGGGAGCACCCTCAGCTGCCTTAAACCCAGCCTGGGAGCATCCTCACTGCCTTAAACCCAGCCTGGGAGAATCCTCAGCTGCCCTAAACCCAGCCTGGGAGCATCCTGAACTGCCTTAAACCCAGCTTGGGAGCATCCTCACTGCCCTAAACCCAGCCTGGGAGCATCCTCAGCTGCCTTAAACCCAGCTTGGGAGCATCCTCACTGCCCTAAACCCAGCCTGGGAGCATCCTCACTGCCTTAAACCCAGCCTGGGAGCATCCTCAACTGCCCTAAACCCAGCTTGGGAGCATCCTGAACTGCCCTAAACCCAGCCTGGGAGCATCCTCACTGCCTTAAACCCAGCCTGGGAGCATCCTCACTGCCTTAAACCCAGCCTGGGAGCATCCTCACTGCCTTAAACCCAGCCTGGGAGCATCCTCACTGCCCTAAACCCAGCCTGGGACCATCCTCAGCTGCCTTAAACCCAGCCTGGGACCATCCTCAGCTGCCTTAAACCCAGCTTGGGAGCATCCTCACTGCCTTAAACCCAGCCTGGGAGCTTTCTCAGCCCAGCCCTGCCCCAAGGGCAGCTCTCCCCCTGCTCTGGCTGGGGGCAGGGGGCACAGTCAGCTCTCCTGGGCTGCTGGAATGCAAGGCTGGATGCCCCAGCTGTGCCAGACACTGTCCTTGGCACATCCTGGCAGCTCCTTGGCATGCCCTGGTGGCTCCTTGGGATGTCCTGGTGGCTCCTTGGTATTCCTTGGTGTCTCCTTGGCATTCCTGGGTGGCTCCTTGGCATGTCCTGGGTGGCTCCTTGGTATGCTGGGGTGGCTCTTTGGCATTCCTTGGTGGCTCCTTGGCACATCCTGGCAGCTCCTTGGCATTCCTTGGTGGCTCCTTGGGATGTCCTGGTGGCTCCTTGGCACGTCGTGATGGCTCCTTGGCATTCCTTGGTGGCTCCTTGGCATTCCTTGGTGGCTCCTTGGCATATCCTGGCAGCTCCTTGGCATGCCCTGGTGGCTCCTTGGCATTCCTTGGTGGCTCCTTGGCATATCCTGGCAGCTCCTTGGCATTCCCTGGTGGCTCCTTGGCATTCCTGGGTGGCTCCTTGGCACATCCTGGCAGCTCCTTGGCATATCCTGGCAGCTCCTTGGCATATCCTGGTGTCTCCTTGGGATGCCTGGGGCGGACAGCAGTGGGAATAGTGCAGGATGCCCTGGAGAATGAGGGGTTCCCCAGTGGTGGTGGTCACAAGAGGCTCCAGCAGGACGTGGAGCTGCTGCAGTGGGTCCAGAGGAGGCCACAGAGCTGCTCTGAGGGCTGGAGCCCCTCTGCTCTGGAGCCAGGCTGGGGCTGTTCAGCCTGGAGGAGGCTCCATGGAGATCTAAAGGGGCTCTGGGAAGCTGGGGAGGAACTTTGGAGAAGGACCTGGAGTGACAGGACAAAGGGGGAATGGTTTTAAACTGAAAAGAGGGAGATTTAGGTTGGATATCAGGAGAAAATTGTTCCCTGTGAGGGTGGGGAGGCCCTGGCACAGAGAAGCTGTGGATGCCCCATCCCTGGAAATGTCCAAGGCCCCAACCCCAGGCTCTCCCCTCTCACCAATTTGGCAATATTTGGCAATATTTGGCAATATTTGGCAATATTTGGCTGGACAAGGCTTGGAGCAGCCTGGGATAGTTGAAGATGCCCCTGCCCATGTCAGGGGGTGGGACAAGATGAGCATTTAGATCCCTTCCAAGCCAGACCAGTGTGTGATTGTGTGAATTCCAGCAGCAGCCAAACCCAGGGGAGGAGAGGAGCAAGTAAGAGTCACTAATGTCATTAGAGGAATTAGTGCAGAGGATTTGCCACAACAGATCAGGCCATCAGTCCTTCAGGGCCAGGCTGCTGACTCTGGCAACTGCCAATATGCTTTACATCAGGGGAAAGGCAAAAAATCCCCTGCTAGTGTGGGGCAGTAATTCCTTCCTGACCCCTTTGGTGATCGGCTTAGGCCCTGGAGCATGAGATTTGATTACCCTCTTAGACTTACAAGGTTAATTCTTCTAGATGAGGCTCATGCACAGTGTCAGGGGAGCTTTGAGGTTTCTGTCCCAGGTCATGAGTGGATGCACAAAGCCCTGGTGGGTGATGCTTTTGTGTGATGTGGTGGCTAAAGGGCAAATCTTTGCTTTTCCCTGCAAGATGGTGTCAATAGGGAGGGCCCTGTCTGCAGAGGGAACATCCCCTCATCTCTAGAGGGGTGATTTGGTGGTTTGTGTTCTGCTGAGCTGTGCCCAGGTTGCTGGTGGATTTGGGGGAGGTGACCCCACACTCTTCACTGCTCGAGGACAGAACCCAGACCATGTTTTGTCTCTGCTCTTCAAGGCCAAGGGCTGCCCCATGGTTTGAGCCCCACATCTCAGCCTCACCTCACTGCCTCCAGGGCAGAACCCAGACCATGTTTTGTCCCTGCTCTTCAAGGCCAAGAGCTGCCCCATGGTTTGAACCCCACATCTCAGCCTCGCCTCACTGCCTCCAGTCTTGGTGGCTGAGCCCATCAAGGTGGGGTTTGGCCGGGTTGTCCCTGGCTCTGTGGCTGCAGGAACAACCCTGGGCTCTTTGTTCTGGTGGAGACCCTCAGGTGTTTTCCTGCTGGGGCTCCTCCAGCTGCTTGGAGGGTCAGGCAGAGCCTGGAGGCCACCCCAGCAGGGACAGAGGGACAGGTCCTGGTGGGGAAAGAGGCAGAGGGACAGGTTTTGGTGGGGAACGGGGCAGAGGGACAGGTGCTGTTGGGAAAAGGGGCAGGGAAACAGGTTTTGGTGGGGAAGGGGGCAGAGGGACAGGTCCTGCTGGGGAAGGGGACAGAGAGACAGGTCCTGGTGGGAAAAGGGGCAGAGAGACAGGTTTTGGTGGGGAGGGGGACAAAGGGACAGGTTTTGGTGGGGAAGGGGGTCAGGAAGACAGGTCCTGCTGGGGAGGGGGACAAAGGGACAGGTCCTGCTGGGAAAAGGGGCAGAGAGACAGGTTTTGGTGGGGAAGGGGGCAGAGAGACAGGTCCTGCTGGGGAAGGGGACAGAGGGACAGGTCCTGGTGGGGAAGGGGGCAGAGAGACAGGTCCTGGTGGGAAAAGGGGCAGAGGGACAGGTCTGGTGGGAAAAGGGACAGAGGGACAGGTTTTGGTGGGGAAGGGGACAGAGAGACAGGTCCTGTTGGGAAAAGGGGACAGAGGGACAGGTTTTGCTGGGGAAAGGGGCAGAGGGACAAGTCCTGTTGGGAAAAGGGACAGGGAGACAGGTCCTGGTGGGGAAGGGGGCAGGGAGACAGGTCCTGGTGGGAAAAGAGACAGAGAGACAGGTCCTGCTGGCAAAGGGGGCAGAGATACCAGGTCCTGCTGGCAAAGGGGGTCAGGAAGACAGGTCCTGCTATGGAAGGGGACAGAGATACCAGGTCCTGCTGGGGAAAGGGGCAGAGATACCAGGTCCTGCTGGGGAAGGGGGCAGAGATACCAGGTTTTGGTTTCAGAGCCTGTCCTGCCACAGCTGCAGGAGCAGAAGCCCAGCTGGCTCCCACCTGTGGCACTGCCAGCTCCTGGTGCTGGGAGCTGCCCCCCAGCAGAGGTTTTGGGTGGTGAGAAGGGCAGAATGCTGCTGGGGAGGGGGAGCTGTCGGTGAAAGGAGCTGCCCTCAGGTGATTCCACATGAGCAGAGTGCTCTGGGGTGCTGCTGGTGTGATGTGAGAGCCCAGAGCGGGCGCACGTGGCGGCCACAGCAGCACAGGGACCAGCCCAGCGCTTGCCAGGGGCCGAGGTGATTAGAGCAGAATCTCATTACTGCTTAATTATCTCTGGGAGGTGCTGGGGACGGGGCAGCAGCTCCCCTTGCCAAGCGTGCCCAGAGCTGCCCCTGCTCTGCCCTCCTGCCACTCGTGGCTTTGTCTCCAGGGCTGCAGGACCCTGAGGCTGCATTTTGGGTGCTGCTGGCAGCTCCATGGCCTGTGGCTGGGATGCAGCAGCCTCATTCACTCTCCTCCCTCAGCTCTGCAAATTAAAGGTGTTCAGTTGCAAAATTGATGCTGTGGTGGAGGCCCAGAGTGGAGTGCAACCTTCCCACGTGGAGAAGGGAGCAGGTCTTGGCACCCCAGGGCATCTCAGCTCATCTCCAACCCTTCCCTGGAGGCTGCTTTGCTCCCAGAGCAATGCTTAGCACAAAGCCATGACCTCCTGCCTCTTCTTTTCTTCTTCTGTTTCTTTATTTGCTCGGAGGGCATTGGCCAAGCCTCGTGCCTTCCCCATCAGCGTGCTGCCTGTTCAGGGGGTGGGGGACCCTCAGCAGCTCTGTCTGCACTGCAGCAGGGCCAGGGAGCCCCAAACCAGCTCCTTCTCCAGCAGCTGGCTCCTGTTAGGAGTGTGGTGGTGAGAGCTGAGCGTGGGCTGGGAGTCACAGCCCAACGTCTGCCCTGCAGCTGGAGCTGCTGCTGGAGCCAGCACCCAGGATCACTCTTGCTCTGCTTACAGCTCAAAGCAGGGCAGGCTGGGGAGACAGGGGACCCCATTTGGGCAGGCAAGGAAAGGAGAACCCCCCAGTGAGGTCCCACAAAGGGGCAGCAAGGTGGGAGGTTTCGGTTCAGCAAGGTGGAAGTGGCAGCTGGGCAGCCCCTGGCACAGGGGGGCTCATGGTGCCCTTAGGGGAGGGATCAATGGGGGCTGGTGAGCAGGAGAGTGGTTACCCCTGGGTGGTTTTGGGGTGCTGAGCCCCAGCTCTGTGGCCCCCAGGGTTGGGCACTCACAGCACAGCTGCAGCGAGAGAGGACAAGATCTCCATGGCTTGAATATTCCACTTAAAAACCCGCAGCCCCCGGACAGATGGCAGCTCTGCTGGGGATTTTGCTGAAATTTATTTTCTCTTGATTTGGCAATATGTGATTTCCAAGGCTGATAATCATCTTTGTGCTTGTGAAGTGTCTGCCTTTGGAGGATCCCAAAATAGGCAGCAATAGGAACCGTTGGGAAGAGGGAGGCGAGAGAGGAGAGCTTGGGGTTGGCTCCAGTTGGGGAAACTGAGACAGAATATTCCTTCTGCATTCCCCTTCTTCCTTTTCCTCTTCCCCCAGTGCTCATTCCATTTGCCTCTGGGAGCTGCTGGCAGCGTGGCCACAGCTTCTGACCGTGGCTGTCCTTGCTTTCAGGTGACCTTCACCAAGCGTAAGTTTGGCTTGATGAAGAAAGCCTACGAGCTGAGCGTGCTGTGCGACTGTGAGATCGCCCTCATCATCTTCAACCACTCCAACAAGCTGTTCCAGTATGCCAGCACCGACATGGACAAGGTGCTGCTCAAGTACACCGAGTACAACGAGCCCCACGAGAGCCGGACCAACGCCGACATCATCGAGGTGAGGCCCAGCTGTGCCACCAGGCTGGGGCCAGGGCTGAGGCTGGGACCGCTCTGCACGCAGGGAGGGCATGGGGCAAGCAGATCTGCCACACTCAGGTGGATTTGGCATGGTTTGGGTTCAGCAAAGCCGTGAAAATAACTCTGTTCTGGGTGGTAGAGTTGTCTCCAGTTGTGTGGTGATCTGCTGGCCTGAAGCTTGAGGGGCAGGTCTGCTGTGTTGGACCCTGCTGTGGAATCCAGACAAACCATGAGGTGGATTTGGGGCTGCTGCTGGACTGCCTGGTGCAGCTGGTGGCATTGTTCTGAAATACCTGGTGCAGCTGGTGACATTGCCCCCACCTGATATTCAGACACAGTGAGGTTGTGGGAGGGCACCAGTGGCCAAATTGCAGGGGAATTCAGGTGGGATGGACCAGCTGGGATGGTCCAGGGCCTGCTCAAAGCATGGCCAAGCTCATGGATGGACCAGGTGGGATGGACCAGGGCCTGCTCAAAGCATGGCCAAGCTCATGGGATGGTCCAGGGCCTGCTCAAAGCATGGCCAAACTCATGGGATGGACCAGGGCCTGCTCAAAGCATGGCCAAGCTCATGGGATGGTCCAGGAACTGGTCAAGGCATGGCCAAGCTCATGGGATGGACCAGGAACTGCTCAAAGTGTGGCCAAGCTCATGGGATGGTCCAGGGCCTGCTCAAGGCATGGCCAAGCTCATGGGATGGACCAGGAACTGCTCAAAGCATGGCCAAGCTCATGGGATGGACCAGGAACTGCTCAAAGCATGGCCAAGCTCATGGGATGGTCCAGGGCCTGCTCAAAGCATGGCCAAGCTCATGGGATGGTCCAGAAACTGCTCAAAGCATGGCCAAGCTCATGGGATGGACCAGGAACTGCTCAAAGTGTGGCCAAGCTCATGGGATGGTCCAGGGCCTGCTCAAGGCATGGCCAAGCTCATGGGATGGTCCAGGGCCTGCTCAAAGCATGGCCAAGCTCATGGGATGGTCCAGGAACTGCTCAAAGCATGGCCAAGCTCATGGGATGGACCAGCTGGGATGGTCCAGGGCCTGCTCAAAGCATGGCCAAGCTCATGGGATGGTCCAACTGGGATGGTCCAGGGCCTGCTCAAAGCATGGCCAAGCTCATGGGATGGACCAGGGCCTGCTCAAAGCATGGCCAAGCTCATGGGATGGTCCAGGGCCTGCTCAAAGCATGGCCAAGCTCATGGGATGGACCAGGGCCTGCTCAAAGCATGGCCAAGCTCATGGGATGGTCCAGGTGGGATGGTCCAGGGCCTGCTCAAAGCATGGCCAAGCTCATGGGATGGACCAGGTGGGATGGTCCAGGGCCTGCTCAAAGCATGGCCAAGCTCGTGGCTTGGTGGGTTTGCTCAAGGCCTGTCTGGCTGTGTTTTGTGGGTCTCCAGGGATGGCCCAAGCACTCTCAGTCTGACCCATGCCCAGCACTGCCACTGGCACCGTGCCCAAGCTCTGCTCACTTCAAGGCTGCCCTCCTCCAGCCTGCTGCCATTGCAGGAGATGCTCAGCTGCCCACACTGGCCCTCTGCTCAGCTTTGTCCTTGTCCCTGGTGCTGGCAGAGCATCTCTGGGACAAGGGGGCACATATGGCTCTCAGGACAGTGCCAGCAGTGCCTGGGTCCTTGGTCACATCCTCCCCCTCACAGTGGCTGGGCAGATGGAGCTGCAGGGTCCTCAGCATGGGGGCAGCTGCCATTAAACCAGGACAGACAGGCAAATGAAGGGCTTGGCTTTGTAATTAGTGACATTATGGGCAGCAGTTAATGCCCTCCGAGCCACTGGTGGCAGAGTGGAGCAGCACAGCCTGCACTGCTTCTGCCTCTGAATTCCTTTGGTGCCCCTTGGCAAGTGTGCTCAGCCTTTGATTTCATGGGGAAGGGAAAAAAAACCCCAGCCTGCATCTTGCCCCAAAAATCTTGCTTTCCTCTTCTTTTTTATGCTCTGTAAAATATATCTTTTTGAGAGATTTGAACTTGAGGTTTTCACCCCATGGCTGAGCCAAGCATCTCGCAGCATCTGCCTTCCTTCGCTGGGGCTTTGGAGACCCTTCTGCCACAGCACAGCTTTGTAGGGGCCTTAAAAATGGTTCCAAAATGTCCTTTTTGGCCAGTTTGAGACAGGTCATGCCCCTTTTTGCTGTGCAGATGCTGGCAGCCTCTCCGGGATGCTCAGCCCGCGCTCGCAGCACCGAACAGATTTGTCTTGGCCTAAAAATACCATAAACATTTTGGGCAGCCTTCTCTGTTCCCTTATGGTCCAAGATGCAAACACTCCCAAGCCGACAAGTTACACACAGTCCTTGGCACCCAAAGAAACGTTGTGTTTGCACCACATGAAAAGCTGGATCTGCATCCAAAGCCAGCCAGAGAGGAACATCGGGAGCGGAAGGATATTGGTGGATGGCAGGGAAAAAAACCCAAACACGCCGGGCTCGGCTTGGATTGCTGGCAGAGCTCTCATGGAGCAAAACCTGCTGGGGTGCAGGCAGGTTTGGAGGCTGCTCAAGCATCCCTCCTCATCTTTGTCTTGTCTGGGAGGAGTTGGGGTTGCTTGAAGATTTTTTAATGTTTTCTCAATCCGAGCCCCCCCATTCCTACTCTCGGTGCTGGTTTCTGTTTCTCCTCACCCAGGTCAGGTTCCAACAGCCCAGCTGTGTCCCCACTGCACACAAATCCAATTTATCTCCTGTTTCTTGGTGGCTCCCAGTTGAACTTGACTCACAAAAAGTTTCTTCTCGTTCTGGAAGCTTCCCCACATTGAGCATTTAGAGACTGTGACAGCCCAGGCTGGGATTTTCCCACCGAATGTGATTTTAAGTGGATTTCAAGGGGCTGCTGCATCAGCCCACCTTCCCTGTGATGTCTGCCTGCCCTTCCTGCTGAGGGATTCGGCCCTGAGTGGCTCTGGCAGCATCTCAGGAAGGATGGGGAGCAGCCAGGACCTGGAGGAATTGAGGCAGAAGCCTCTTGATTTTGTTTTTCTGCTGGAAGGGGAGCGAGCAGTGGCTCTGGAGGGTTAAGCCAAGCACTGCCAGGCTGGGCCCAGCAGCACTGGTACCACAGCTCAAGGCAGGATGAGTTGCTCTGTCCAAATTACGTTTGAAAACAACAGCAAACATGAGATCTCCTGGTTTTTGGTGCTGGGGAGGTGCATCTGAGGGTGGGACTGAGGGCACAGGAATGTCCTCGAGGGGTTTCTCCTGTGGATGTTTAGTGAGAGGCAGAGCTGCTCCATGCTGAGCATACCCAGCCCTAGCTCAGGAGGGGTCCCACACCCCAGCTGCCTTTTGGGGCCCATTCCCTGTGGGGACCTGTTGGGGTCTCTGCTGCTCAGAGTGACCCCAAGAAAAGTTCCAAAGTCTCTTTTCCCAGCCCAAGCACTTGAAGAAGCAGTCAGGGCTCTTCAGTTCTCGCTCTCAAGGTTGTTTATTTTGTCTTATCTATAAAAAATTTCTCCTGCCCTGCCGAGGTCCATCCAGCAGGACAGTTCCAGGCACTCTGCCTGCCCCAGGGCAGTGTTATGTCTTTATACTAAAAACCACCTGTACAATATTTACAATTACTTCCCAATACCCATCACCTGTGTTAGACACTGAGCTTCTACTCTAAACCAATCCCAAAGTGCCACCATCACAGCAGAAGATGGAGGCCAAGAAGAAGAAGGAGAAAGGCTGGACATGCCCAGATCCCTCCATCTTGCCCCCTGAACCCCCATACCAGAAAACCCCAAAATCTATTTTTTCACCCTGTGATAACTTCACTATGATTGTACCTAATTTGTCGTGGCTTGCTGATCTTCATCTAAGGTTGGTGACTTGCTCCAGGGGTCATAATCAAACCCACAGGGGCATTGTGGGCTCTGTGCCAGGCTCCCTGAGCCCCCTGGCAGGGCTCTGGGCTGCTCAGGACATCCAGAGGGGTGTCCTGGGTGCTGACAGGGCCCCCCCCAGGGTGGGGTTTCAGCAGTGCCAGGGCTCAGCTTTGTCCATCAGGAGCGGGATCCAGCCACGCAGCCCCCGCGGCTTCTCCGTGCCAGACCAAATCCCGGTTCCTGCAGGCTTTTAAGTCAGAGAAAATCTCTCTGGTGCAGAGAGGGGGGTTTCCTGAGTCGGGGGGGGCCAGCTGAGCCCCCAGCTGGGCACGCTGGGTGCCACGTGCCCGCCCAGCCGGGATCACGCCGGCTTTGGGGCTCGCTGTCGCTTCTCGTTTCCTGCCAGCCTGGCTGACGTGCCAGCTCCTCAGAGAGGGCTTGGACAGGGCAGAGCTCCCCAAGCACCAGGATGCTCCACAGCCACTTAAAGGCACCCAGCTGTTTCTGCCCTTTGCTTGGCTGAGTGTCCTGGAGGGGCTGATTTTTCCCCCTCGGTCGCCTTCGCGGGGTTGGCATTCCCCAGGATGTGTTAAATCAGGCATTCTGCAGGATGCTGGGGAGGTGCTGAAATGCAGGGGCAGCTGCCAGTGTCAATGTCTTCATCCTCATTCTCATCCTTATCCTCATCCAGACTTCCCCAAAGCCCAGAGTGGTTGAGGCTCCCTCCTTCTAAGGGAAGTCGACTGCATCCTGGTTGAGCATGGTTTCCTCTCACATGTTCTGCATTTCCTGCTGCTCTCTTCCCCTCCTCGGGCTGGAAATCTGCTCCCCTGTGAGCTGCAGTCATGGAAGTGAGAATATTGCCTGGAAAAGCAGGATGTGCAGCGGGTCCTGATAGAATGGGGGGGACCTGAGGGGCAGGTGATGACTGAGGTGGGCTTTGCAATGGGAAATTCTCCCCCTGGTTCTCTCTGAAAATTTTCTGCTTTTAAATTTCTTCCATATGAAAAATTGTTGTGTTCTGCTGGCTGCAGCCCAGTGACAGAAAGGTTTCCTGAAAACCTCTTTGCATCTTCTGGTTTTTTGGTTTTTTTTTCCCTGGCAAAATAAAAGAGGAGGAATGAGAAGGAAAGTTCTTTTCTAAAAGACCTTGCAGA